TGTGACTCTTGTAAGACGGTCCTTGGATATAGAGCGCAGTAAATGCAGGTCACCTAAAGGTCGCACTGTACCATGCTTCTGTTCGTTTTCTCTGGCTAGCAATAGCCTGAACTCGTGGGAGCTGCGGGAGACTACCAACAAGCTGGTGGAAGGCCGAAAGAAACTGATCCTGGCACTAACACGGCATGGGTAGTGAACACAAGAGAAAGGCTTCAGGCCCAGGGGCACGGGTGCACTCCATTAGTGCTTGGACAGGGTTAAGCAAGTTAACACGGGAAGGACAGGAGGAGGAGGAGGGAAGAGGGTCAGGTTGAGGGGAAGAAGGAGAGAATGCAAACAAGTGAGAGAGACAAACACCACTACAAAACAGAAGAGTAACAAACTGCTGAGGCAGGTAGACAAGATATCTATCTCCCATCAAGTTCTCTTGAAGAGCGATCTGAGATTTCAGTTCAGAAAACATGCAGCATGCAGTACCGTTCAAACACGAGATAGGAGCTCTCTAAGTTGAACTGATTCATGGCCTGCATTCTCCTTTTGAAACATCTACACAGCGGTACTCTCATCAATATGAACGCCTGCTTTCACTGGATCAACATAGAGCGGGTCTCTTGTACCATCCTCAGGCACCCCAGCTAATGCACGACCTGGATGGGACCTGGTCGTCCACAAGAAGGGTCCTACCTACCTTCTTTCCTTCCATGGACCTGGTGAAAACTCAGGGGATCGATAGGGAAGGAAGGGGGAATAGAAAGGGAGGAAGGGGAGTAGAGAGGAAAGGAAGGGGGTGGAGGGGGAAGGAAGGGGGAGGGGAGTGGGGGAAGCAGAGGAAGGGGAGGAAGGGGAGGAAGGGGAGGAAGGGTGAGGGGCTGTCTCTTATACACATCTAGATGTGTATAAGAGACAGATATATTGGTGGTCTGCCCCCATCTCTCCCACGCGTGACGAGGCCATCCTTCTCATTGAAGCAGTGGCCCTCAATGGCTCCACATGTACTGTAGGAGCCATTCGAGGTACCTGCAGGGGCCCTCGAATTGACGTGAAGGGGACCGTTCTCTCTCTCTCT